CCTTTGAGTAGAGTTGTGTAGGAGTTTCTAATTGAATCAGGTGGTATACGTAGAAAGAGCGAAATACTCAATACTAACAGCATTAGTGAATCAAATAAGAAGAATAATTAGTAGACTACACTAAAATAATGTATCTATTAACTACGTACATACATACTATTACAAAATAAAATAGGTTTCATAGAAAACATAATATTTAGATAAAACTGAAAAAGCCCCTAAAAACGATTAACCAACAATAGGCTAACACCTCGCTTTTTTCATATTGAGTGTTCAAATATTTTATCTCTTATCAGGATATACGGTTGAAGGGATAATATTGAAAATATAGAGAATACAATGAATAAAATTATGCTTTGTGTGCAATGAATCAACAGTTAATACAACAAGATTAATACAACTTTGAAATGCGTCATTTAAAAATATAAGCTTGTTTTTTTTTTTTGTAGCGAAGCATTTGTAGAGAAAAAAAATCTAGATTTATTAACTAGGTAAGTAGCTATATACCTACCTAGTTACTTGATAATAAAATGTATTTAAGTATATTTTTTATCGACTTTTGACTTAGGCAAAAGGAACTGGCTCAGCTGATGCTGTGAGTGACCCAGCGCAATGTGAACAGCTGCACAGCGCTGGTTTTCAGCCAGTCCCTCTCTTAACAAAACATAACCAAAGTGCAGGGTACTACTGTAAATTGCTTCTTATAAGAATTATTTCTCAAATATACTTAATTATTAGTATATATATTATATTATATATATATATATATATATATATATATATATATATATATATATATATATATATATATATATATATATATATATATATATATATATATATAACCGCTCTGCGAAACTTTGTAGCAGTACAGTGAAATAAGTCCAGATTGGAACTCGCTACTACCTCATTGGGCAGACGTAGCGTCCTCGTGAGTAGCGCCTGATCAGCATGAAATATCCTGTTGCGTGGTAGGGCAAATATTCCATGATTACGGTCACGATGATATATATCATATCTAAGTAAGATGATATATAGATATGATATATATGATAATTTATTTGTTATTAATAATAATTGATTTGAATGACATGACGAGCAAACAACAACCTCTCCTCTCAAGCAAACAAACGTCTTGAGTTTATGTAACCAAGTTTCAATTACGAAAATAATTTTCAATTACAAAAGACTTTTTAAGAGATTTTTTATACCTTTAAGGCTTCTGTATACATTACTGTTGACAGTATAAATAACATTAAAGTGAAGGGAGGCAATTTGTCGAGATCATTAACGCACCGCGGCTTTTCTTAGTAAAATAATATTTAAGCTATTATAATGAAAAATGTGAATTTTCTAGTGAATAATCACTTGTTATTATATTTATGAGCATAACAAATTGTTGTATTGTTTAGCATTTATCAAGGAGTCGCTGTTGCCTTCAATGGATGGTAAAGTTTTCGATCTAACTTGACAGCAATTTATTTCGATGCCCATACATACGGTATTTATGGGCATCTAAATATGTACGGTTTCCTGTGTGTGCACTATCGAGTTAAAAAAATAGAATATATTTGGATTATGATAAAAATATTTTGTTTAATTGATTTAAATCTCTTGTGACAACCCAACCCTTTTTGTCGACATCAAAGGAGCATTTATTTTATACATACTTTCTCTGTACTCAGACTGCTTCGAAAACTGTTAAGTTACATTCAACAGAACTTGGAAAAGTAAAGACGAAGTGTGTTGATGTTAGAATCCGAATACATTTTCCTTATTAATTATTTATTATCCAGACTTCACTCGCCTGATCGTACTTTGATTGGCCTGGATAAAAAATAACTCTCTTCTCTTTCCCAAATATAATATAAGTTTGCTTACTTATTACCTTTTTGTACTTAAGGACTCAATCAATCGTCATGAAATTTGATATCCACCACAGTATAATAAAAATGTATATATCTCTCAAGAATTGGTGGCTTACGCAATGCAAAGCAAATCATTTTGTGAATCGGGTAACGTGGTCATGGTGAGATATTAAAAAAGAAACAAGTGCATTTTGCGCTACACATTAAAAAAAAGGCAGTCCTGATAAAACACAATTAAAAAAAAACTGGTATCACTAGGAATGATGTTAAGAGTCCAAAGATAACCACATACATTCAAATTTATTTTAGAAGTTGTGGTGAAATAAAGAAATATACATGAACCCTGAAAACATTGCCCTCTTTTTATGCACAGTTGAGTAAAACCCGAAAGTTTACACCTCAAAGCTGTTTAATATGTAAATAACGTCACTGGAATAATAATAAAATATTCTTTTACGTTACGCTTAACATTTTAGAGAGTCCTGTACTGCATGTTTGTGTCCAAAAGGATTCACATTTAAACAGAAGTTTTCCTGTCAAACAGCAATATGAGCGCTATGATTGCCCATTGTACGTTGTTAGGGTAACATAATAGAAGTGCTTTGATGGTTTGGCCCATAAAAAGGAAATTGCGGTAATTTTTCCAACAGACGTCCGGCCTGGTTCATATTTTGGCAAATTTGTACAATGAACTAAGCCCTTAAACTGCCATTAAACTTATTTATGACATGTCGTTTATATATTACCATAATTTATTTTTTATAAATCACAAAAAATATATAAATTACAAAACAGATTATTAACAAATAAATTACAAATGTAACTAAATTTCAAATCAGATATTGCCATTTGTTTTTGATTTTATATATGAAATGGATTGATAACATAGTCTGTGCTATACACCCCTGGCAGAGCACCAATGAAGGATGATAGGTGAAGATGAAAGCTGACAGCTAAGTAGTTGACTTATCGTGACAAATTCAACACGAATTAATAATGATAGTTCCCAGGGGGACCCGCGTAGAGGTCAATCTAACAGAGTATATTGCTAGCAATGGGGCTGTTAAACTCCATTACTAGTAATCCTTTTTCCCCATTGTCACTAGGTCTCTGTATATTATTCTACGTCTCTATATCTATATCTCTATATATTATAATAATGTGAATTTAAAAAACGTGCCTACAGATATTTAAAAGGCAGGCATCGCACAAACAACTCCTCTCGTGTTGCAGGTGTTCATGGACGACAGTAGCCGCTTTCCGTCGGTTGTACAATATGCTCGTTTGCCTCCGTAACAATAAAAAAAAAATATTAATAAAAAAAATTAAGTGCAAGTATAATAATACCGATAGAACAAGATCTGCTCAGTACTTACTAGATGGCTCTATGACCTAAAAGTATATCCAGCTATATTTATTTGTTTGTATCTTTCCACAAAAAGAATAAAATTGACACGAAAAATATTTGCCATGCCAATAATTAGATATACACTAATTCAATATGTTGCATTCTATTCAAAATATACAAGTCAAGGAATAATAAAATTGTTTGTTTAGCGTACCGTTTTGAGATAAGCTCTTTGTAGTTCTGTATGATTTAGAAACTTAGACACTTCTATAGTTCAGTTTGCCGGTCCTTGAGGCCATATTGATTACCCCACGATCTGCTGTACCGGATATCCTCATTTGGGATACTATTGCACGATAGCGATTCCTTTGTTGATATAAATTACATTTATTTCTTTATCAAACTTTTAGACTACAAGATATTTTGATTACCATTATGTCGTTAATTTGAGGGGATGCTCGTCACTTTATTTTACTAGTAACGCCCCTTTTTCCAATCAAAGCTTCGTATGGTTTTTTAAAATAAAATACAATATATGTCACGCTTATAACGTAGCTTTTTATAGGTGAAAGATTTTTTAAAATAGGTTAGAGAGCGTTTAAGTTCAATCATTATAAACAGACATACATACATAAAATAAAATATTATTGGAGACAGTAGTCTCATAACGATATATATAATTATATAAACAAATATATACATAAACATACACATATTTAAAAGCACACATCCAATGACAAAGGAAAATGAAGAGAGAACACAAGAAAATTGTACTAAAGGTAGTAGGTATTTTTGTTATTTTTTTGCTTTTTTTATTTACTTGGGTACTTCTGTCCCATTCGTTTTTCAACCGTGAAGCAGTTGTGTTTGCATGGCTGTGTTTCGGTTTGAAAAGTGGGATATGGCAGTGAATTTACAGGGTACGGAAGAATAACACCTGAATCCTCAGGAATGGCAACGCATGGGGGGTATCATGGAAGAAACAGTATACTCTGTTTTGTCCATGGTAATGCTCATGTCTATAGGCGACTGTTACTACTTTCCTTTACGTGGTCCGTCAGTGTGTTTGCCATTCTAAGTTTTAAAAAAAAAAGGAAATAAAAAAAAATTAACAGAGGATAGTATTATTGTCTTTGATATCTGTATATAATATTTAGTCGTGTAGCTATTATTTATGTCATTATTTAAGATAAGATTAAAATAATAATGTGTACATACAATGCAATTGTATAATATCTAATTATGATTATTTAGTATAATCTTATCTAATTTTTGTGCTATGTTATTTTTGCTCAGACCTTGTGGATTTTTGCGTATATACATTTCTTACGTATTTTTTTGCTTACTGGATTACTTAATTTAATATCCTAATTGGCGTATATCTTATTTATTAACAATTTATGAGTATTTTTGAGAATTCTCAATTATTGTGTAATAATACGTAATATTTATTTTTTATTTAACATGATAATTTCTCCCGCTGAGAATCGATTTTTAAATGTTTTATTCACTTGACCGATTCTGATATAACACAATTTGTTACGTTTAGCTCAACATTTAGTTCTTGTAATGAAGTGACAGACAGACATACGTTACCTTTCAACTCCTACAATTATCATCACATTATTGTAATCAAATACATCATTATTTCATATACATAAATTAGCATTCCATGTTACTATCTAATCATATTAAGGTAACGATAAAATTGTATCAGTTGTACTAAATGTACTTATTTATATTAAAACAAAAAAACAGTATATAAAAATGTTTAAGAAGTGAAGTTTGTGTTTATGTTTTTTTTCTAATGACTTATAATAATATATAATATAATAACTTATAATTATTTAGTGACTGAAATATATATGATAAAAAAAACTGATTTAAATAATAATATCGTCACGTATTACTGATTTATATCTCTGTATAATTAAATACTAATAAAAGAAATGAAACAATACGCATATTATAATAAATCATTTTATTTTTATAATCGCCAATCAATGTACTTTTTTAAAAGTGGTCAATAAAAATACACTTCGATTTCAATTGATAATTATTTAATAGCATAATGAAGGAATATTTAAGGAAACAAATATTTGTTTCATTATGTGGTAAGTATAAAAAAATAATAATATTTAAAGTGAGTCGTAAAGATAATTCTTAATAATAGTGTTATAAATGTGAAAGCGAAAGTTTCTTTGTTTTCTTTTTATATTAATACATTATTAGTTCAGCCAAATGTCATGAAATTTTGTGTACACTTAGTATGTGGAATGGAAAAGAACTAGATTATTTTTTTCCTAGTCAATCAATATATCCTGGTCAGATGATCAATGTTCTTTTTTGGGGACGACAATTATATGGTACCTTCTACACTATCAGTGAGAGTTAAGTCATTCGTTTATCCCTTCCTCTCCCTTAGATGTCGTAAGAGGCGAATAAGGAAACTTAATAGTCGAGCAATGGGCAGCAGCTCTTTTAAAACATCACCAAAAGCCTAAATACGAATGTGGTAATTGCCAATTGATGTGAGCGTGATCATTGCCACACTTGGCTGCCGGGTGGTCAATTATACTAGTAACATCCCCCTTATGCGAAAAACTTATGTACAGCAGTGGACAATTAACGGCTGATATGATAATGATGATGATGATGAAATAAACTTTCACACTTATAATGTTATTACGAATATAGCATGAATAAGCAGAAGGGCAAAACATTATTAATAATGGACTTTAACAGGCTAATTGTTAGTATATACCCTATTAGGTCGACCTTCACGCGGTTTCCCTTTCATTCATTTTTGTTGAATTAATCACGAAGAACCAACTGACCTGATTTCATCCCTTATTTATCATCTCTAACTCCGCTAGCATATACTGATAGCGCATACGAGATTCCATCTCCACCCGTTTACAAAAATACAAATAAAAATAAACAAGGATTCTATGAAGATACATTTTTTTTTCAGTATATCTGGGCCAAGTGTTAGTTGGATACGCCATGGGGTGGTCTGCTCCAGTAATAGCAAAACTAGACGATCCTAACCAAAGTCCTCTGCCTGGTCCGATAACGCAAGGCCAATCGTCTTGGATTGCATCTTTGTTGTACATTGGTTGCATAATTGGTATGATAATTGATACATTATATATATTTTTTAGAACTACTATACTATATTGCTGTAAGCCGCAAATTTTCTATGTAGCTTCACCTAGCACATGCTATATTTTCTCTGTGATGCCTGTGACATGAATGCGTGGCTATTTCTAAGGACTAAGAAGTTATGTTTCTGTACCCTGTAATTTCATTGTCATTTTATTATAAACAATTGCCGTGGGGTCCTGGTATAAATGGACCACTTCTTCCTTTCTCGTGGGTGTCGTAAGAGACGACTAAGGAAGCTTAATAATTAAAAAATGGGCAGCAGCGTCGCTGTTAAAACATTACCAAAGCAACTGCGGTTGTTCACCCGCCTATTAAACGTGGCAACTACTGACAACACCTCTTTATGGGGGAAGCCAATGTTCAGCAGTAGCGTTCACATATCATCACCATATTAGCCAATGTTCGGCTAATATGGTGATGATAATTATTATTATAGAACATTAATTAATATAAGAATATTTTTAATATACCACTAGCATAATGCTCCTATTGCATCTTCAGTTACTATCACAGACTCGTCACATGACACATAAACCATGTTGTGATTTCTTCTCATTCGCAATCTAATATTTTAAAAGTGTATTAAGAATATTTTTTGAAATATTAAATAAATATCTCACTCTCAAACCGAAACACGGCCTAGCAAGCATAGCTGCTTAGCATCAAAATTATAAGAGGGAAAATCTTTTAGCAAAATAGACAAGTTTACAAAGTTGTAGTATATGACCAATAATAAAATACAATCACAATTCCAGTTTCTTCTATCTTTAATCTAACTGAGAACAATTTTGATTCTCAATATCAATTCTTTAAAAATACATTTAATACAATTGTCGAAATAAGTTTTTTTCCTAAAAGTAGCCATTCTCACATTATATTTTTCCCCACACAAACCTCCTAATAGTATTGCTACTTTTCAATCCTAGCTATCTATCTATCTAGCCTATTCCGATCCAAGTTCTAATTTTTAAATTACTACTTCCATATTCCAGGTCCTAATATATCAAGTTATCTATCAAATACAAAGGGGCGAAAATTATGTTTCTTCATTGCTGGAGTTCTGATTATATTTTCATTCATCCTATTAGCAGCTGCCAGGAACCTGGTCATGATCTATACTGGAAGAGTAACTATTGGCTTGGGAATTGGGATTATAGCAGTTTTAAATCTAGTTTACATTGGTGAAATAGCGTGAGTATCATCATAGATAGAATGGAATTCGTATTTGATTTAGTTAGTATTAATTATTAAATTTATTATTATGGTTCCAACTACACTTTTATACAATATCGATACAACCTTACGTGCCATATTTTTTTTTTATTATTATTAATTGATGGACTTACTTCAAATGATTATTATGACATCAAGTCAAGTTTACGGCAAAAAATATATTATTTACAACATATTATTATAATATCGCCGTGTGTGCCCCAGCATAGAATGGGCCACTCCTTCCTTTCCCATGGGTGTCGTAATAGGAAACTAAGGGAGGGCGACGGATGGGCAGCAGCGTCTCTCATAAAACATCCCTAAAAGCCTATCTGCAGTTGCCAACACGCAAGCCAACTACTGGCTAAAAACCCCCTATGAGAAAGTCTTATGCCCAGCAATGGATAGTAAACGGCGAAAATAATAATAAAATTATATCTCTCTACATTTATCCCAATATATATTATAAAATTATTAATACCATAATAAAACTAGTGCAAATTATTTAAATAAAATAATCACTGAAAAATGACATTTACTGGGATGTTAAGTTCGCCAAATGTATATTATATATATTCACACTGTGCATTAAAGTTTAAATAAATAATATGTGTTTTTTTAAATTTATCAGATTGCAAGGATTTTTTGTGAGTATTACGTTTAAAAATAGTTACAATATCAAACAAAAAAAACTCGTATTTTTGACCTAATTGTAACGTCAAATGTGGTTAATTCGTATTATGAGACCGACAAATCATATTGACAGAAGAGATAAGTAAATATGATAACAGTACATAACTGCGTAAACACTATGACTGCTGTTGAAATAATTTTATCTTAACTAATATTACAAAACCTGTGCCACCCCTTCCTTTCCCTTGGGTGACATAAAAAGCGACTAAGGAAACTTAACGATCGACGGATGAGCTGACTGCGGTTACCAACCCGCCTGTCAAGCATGGCAATTATTGGCAAAACCCCCAATAGAGGGAACAATGAACAGTTAATTGCTGATTATAATGATGATTTGGCTGAAATTATTAAGAAGACTCGATGCGGTTTGGGAGGTGGTAAATAACGAGAATAATTCAAGATATAAATCGTAAACTTGTATATTGAATAAACCGCCTAGAACAAAGGTTGTATCGCGAGTGTGTATAAGATAACACATTCAAGTTACGTTGATTAATTTAGATCACTTACAAATTAGGGAACGGTGCAAAGTTTGCTTTGAAATTATAAATAATCATTGTGCAATATTACATGTAGGCACAATGATGATGATGAATATTATAAATAGGAAAAAAATATTTTTAGTTTGTAATGGATAAACTTAAAAAATACTTAATGAACTTACTGAATTTTAAAAGTTTCACCTGCAGAAATACATTATCAGAGAGAAAGAGAGACATAGCGTGTATTCTATTTTTAAAAAAGTCAAACCTGATCAGTTTGGTCGCAAGTTAAATAATAAAAGGATTTATGTTTCCCTAAATCCTCCCGAAAAGCCTCCTGTTTCTGTGATGCGACAAATTGGAATATCAATGACGAATTGCTTAATATTACTGCTAACATGATTGGTGGTTACGCATTAATTAAATTTTTGTTCTATTTATAGGTCAACAAACATAAGAGGAATATTGTTAACTGGAACAGGCATATTTTCTACTCTTGGAACTTTATTGATATACTCAGTGGGACCTTATGTTTCATATGCATCCACTTCGTACATAGGACTATGTTTATCGATTTTATACATAGTTGGATTATATTTTATACCCGAGACACCATTATTTTATATAATGCAAGGTAAATTGCGAATTCACTTTTAATTCTTTGTGTGTCGAAAAAAAGTAATGAGTTATACTAATGTTTGTTGGCTCTTGATGGAATTTGTAATTACCTTCATAAGTAAGAACATTTGCAGTTTTTTCTTTTATTATAATTGATCCACGTTTCATCAATCAAATCAATTTTTATCTATAGTTCTCACGATTTTTATTCTTAACTGTTCATACATAATAATATATACCTACGACAATGCCTGCGATCTTATTGATGATTGGTGCTATCGGTGAATGTTTTAACTTTGTTCAATCATGGAACATCATATTACGTTTTTAATATTTAAATCTTTAACTTAAACATTGTTAACGTAGATTTGTGATATTAAGTCATTGCAATATTAATCTTAGATAATTATATAAAAAAAAATCTTATAAAGAAATCACACCAACTCTTAAACATCCTACTATTATATATTGTTTCTTGTCAAAAAAAGAATAAATAACATTATTTATTTTATCAATATATTTAAAATAAAAAATTTATTTATTTAGGTCAGAGCGAAGCAGCTGAAACAGCGCTAGTTGCACTTGGAAGACAAGACGAAATAGATAATATACTGAATATGAGAGTTAAAAAAGATCAAAAAAGCATCGCACAATTGAAGGAACTAGTTAGTGAAACCAGTAATAGAAATGCTTTAATTATAACACTGACATTAAGTATATTACAGCAAATGAGTGGAGTTGTAGTTGTGGTATTTTTTGCTACAACAATATTTGAGCTAGCAGGTTCATCTATACATCCAAATGTAGCTACTATTGTAATTGGAATCACACAATTGGTGTCTAGTTGCATAGCTCCATTTGTTGTTGAGAAAGGAGGAAGAAAGGTTTTATTGCTTTTCTCGACAACTATATGTGCTAATAGTTTAGTAAGTACAGAACTTTTTTATTAAGTTTTGTTTTTATATCTTCTCTCAGAATAGTATTTACATGCAACTACGTGTGCATGATCATGATATATTGTTTGCGCAAGATAAATTAGTTGCTTATGTTTTTTGTAATTTTAAATAATATATGTATGTCAGATTTCGTGACGATTAATAGAAGCGTTAATGTGCTATGAGGTAACAAACAAACAAATTACTTTCATATTTACAATACTGTTTTATAATTGTTTTTCTTTTGATAATTTTCAAACATGTGACATCCTACAGAATGTTACAAATGCATAATTATTGCTCAATATCTTTTTTACATTGCTTACATATTTTCATCTAACTTTTGCCCACAATTTCGTAGATGTGGATTATGAAGTAATAAAATACACCACTACTAGATGGCGTATCGAGATAAAATATATACGAAATTTTAAATGGGACTTTCATGAATACAACTATTTTTTTGCACAGTGCAGAAACAAACATACTAATAAACTAACAAAAATTCTAAGAATCATTGCTCTTAATTTTTATTTCCATGTTATGTCCATGCTACTGCCCATTGTCTATAGGCGACGGTTACCACTTTCCATCAGGTGGGTCGTCAGCTTGTTTGCCCTTCTATGTTGTATAAAAAAAAATTTGGAAGTTTTCCCCCATATATTTTTTTACCATATTACCTTAGACATTGTTAAGAGCGTGGACTATATATTTATTAAAAAGCTAAAATTTTTAGCTTTTTAATATTTTTATAAACAACGGGCACCATCACAACAAGACTTTCATACTATGACACTAGATGGCGTCATTTGTTAAATTAAAGTATACATAGTTCATAACTCCATCAGTTTAAAACCGATTTGGGTTTTTTAATCTTAAAAGATATACTTACAGAAATTTTATCAAAATTGATTTAATAGTTTATTTTTCAGGTCAAAATAACTAATTTTGTCACAATTGAAATCCACTGTTTTTGTAAGACAAAATCTTTAATTATTATAAAATATATTTTGTGGTTAGCAACAGGCATTTTTTACTTATAATTTTATCATTTTTATAAGTGTATTTGTTTCAGGCTATACTAGGAATTTACTTTTTCATGGATTCCTATGATTATCCAAATATTGAAAAAGTTGCATGGTTGCCTCTTGTGACTCTTATAATATTCTTTTTGTCTTACGATTTTGGTGAGTATGCTATTTTAATGTTAAAAGTTTTAAAAAATAAAAATAAAATCATTTTTGACTTGCAAGTACAACAATAATAATGAACAATAACTTGTACTTATTGTTTGATATATCATACGACGACGACATATTTGGTTTATTTATTCCATTGTAACATTAGAGATGATCTGTGGCAACACTGTGTGGTTCTCACTATGTCATCGCGTCATAGATAAAATTGTGCCTACTACATAGAAAATTAATCCCTAATACCTTTTTAGGTTTTGGTATTATTCCTGGAACATTTGCTGGAGAGATGTTCCAACCTCAACTAAGAAGTATCGGATCTGCAGTAACTGTGACTACAGCTTGGCTTTTTGGCTTTGGAATATCTACCGCGTTTGGGTACATGATTTCAGAGTTGGGAGGTCATATTACTTTTTGGTTTTACTCCGGCGCATGTGCTGTAGCAACATTGTTTACAATTTTCTATATACCTGAAACTAAAGGAAAAACTTTGGAAGAAGTGCAAGAAATGTTAAGATAATGATTGTTTTCCTAAAAATGGGCGCCATATAAACCACTTCTATTTTGTACTAGGCTATGCGATTATTTTTATAAAAAATTGCCAGGAATTTCTAATAATCATTTCCTAAAACATTAGTTTTAAAGAAACACCAACCTTTAAGGATGTTTGATATTCTGAATACAGATCTATTTGTAATGCAATTAATATTGTTAATTAATAAAGGATCTAAAATATGATATGATATATGATAAAGACCATTTAAACGTTCGCGTTGTTTATACATATTTCAATTACACAATCTCGACCTAATTTGGTCCTGTGACCACGACGTAGTGCAACCCACGTCGAAAGGTCGGCAATAAAGAAACAGGTATGTGAGTACTATTTACCTGTAAAGGCTTTTACATCGTTTTGAGTCCCGATTGTGTATTTAACATTTGATAAGGACTATTATTATTATTTTATATTATTACTGTTAGTTTCTTTCAAATTGACGTTACTAGACTTTTAAATATTTGTATAAGAATATAAAATCTAGTATGCATATAGACCATTTGAAAAATTAAACTACCTAGTTATAAATTAAGATCTGACAAATTGTAAATAAACATCTTTAGTCTTATTACAAAGTGTGCCGATGTTAATAGCTTAATAAATAGCTTATGATTATTTACTATTATATTATAATTTACATACATACATATTTGTCAAAAATTTAATAAATGTTAAATCTACTCTAATTCTTTAATTCGATAATTAGTCAAATTGTTATCTGTCAGTCGCTTAACTAAGCCCACCATAATATCTCAAGGTTTTGTATCTTTAGTTGTAATTTCCATATTACTTCTCAAGTTTCAGTTGTTATGGAAACAAATCACTACGTAATTCTTTAATTACTTGCAAATGTTTTCGACAGTGTTAGTTAAGATGTTTATAAAATTCTTCATACAACTATATTTAACTATATATTACTACAAATATTATATACTACTTGTAGAATAAATTGAGCAATAAACTACTTATATTATAAATATATTTTTTACAGGTAGATAAGTTATTATTTCGTCGTGTGGTCCCGGTATAGATTGGGCCACCTCTTCCTTCATATATTGTAAGAGGCAAACTTAACAGTTTAGGAATGAATAGCAACATCCTTCTTAAAACATCGCTAAAGCCTAACTGCCGTTGTCAAACTGTCTGCTAAGCATGGCAACTAGTGGAAAAAATCTCCCAATAGGGAGAGGTCTATGTTCAGCAGTGGACAGTTAATGGCCGATATGCAAGCTATTACATAGGATGGTTACAAGCAGAAAGAGGCGATGTAACAGTTTGATTTTTATTTTTAAACTTTGGCTATTGCTGCTATGGTTAATAATAAAAAATACAAAACTACTTTATGGTCAAGTTATTTTGAACACTAAGCAGTGAAATAAAAGACAAGTGTCTGTCATTTCAAAAGGCATAAATAAATAAGGCACTGGTATCTAAAATAGACTTATAATTAAATCATTATTTAATCATCATTTCACCCATTAACTGTCAACTGCTGAACATAAGCATTCCCAATAAGGACGTTTTGCTAGCAATTGTCACGCTTAGTAATCGGGTTGGAAACCTATGTTAGACTTTTAGAGATATTTTAAAAGGGACGCAGCTGCCCATCCGTCTACCACTAAGTTCTTTTAATGGCCTCTTATGACACCTACAGGAAAGTGTGGCCTATTCTACGCCGAGACCACACGGACAATAATTAAATATTAAAAAATTAATAATAACAAATTAATGAATTAATGATTTATGATGTAGAATCCTGGAACTTAACAGTAGGACTGGTTTATAAACTTAAAGTCTGCGAGCGAGATGATCGGGAACGAGGAAATTTGACGAATTAAATTGGTTGATATAGCTATAGGTTGAAAATAATGAGCCAGCTATATTTATCGAATCAGCAATGATGGGGAGAAAAGTCTTGAAATGGAAGATGTACAAGACGGCCAGTGTACAGGACGACGACGAAGTGTGGGGGCTTCACAGATATCCTTCTAGATAAACCAATTTCCTAAGTATAAAAATGCGAGAAGGGAAGAATCGCACATGCTGGAAGGACTTAGGGAACCTCTGACTGACACTAGATTGATGCAGACTTATATCATGATCATAATCTGCTACAGAAAATATTAACTTTGCAAACATATTTTTATTTATTAAACTTTAACACCTAGACAGTGTAAATGGTAGTCTAATTTTACTATATAGCGTTAAAAATAAGCAAGATATTACAATAAAAATTCACTGTTAATTGTTAATTGTTCTCCGCTTTTTCGTATATATTTGCATTGAACATACTGTGTTAGATTAAGACTTATGGCATAATAAAATATAGTTTCGGTCTAATAATGTCCTGCTTTAATTACCTCTTATGTTTATCTACTCGTACAGCTGTCATAATAAACGTTTATTATTTAAGTACACACTTGTCGCTTAACACTACTTTTATTTGCTAGACGAGAAATAAAGTATTCTTTACTGCTGTATCATTACATTTTCGTTGTCGTCTTTCAGTTAAATCATATCATTGTGATCAATGCAACGTGATTGGGTGCTCACGTATTGAATTGTTGAAAACTGTGTTTTAACGAAATGAAATTGAAAATTGAAAGATATGTGAAAAAACAATTCGGTATAGCTGTTTTTTGTACGTATTATTTATACTTGTATAATATAATTGTAATTAATACTAGACTAATATTGTAATAACATGGAGAACTTTTATGGTAATCCATTGTTACAGTTCGTTGAATTTATCTGTAGAAGTAGCATCAATGGATCAGATACGTGTGTTATACATTTCCATTTCAAGAATAAGACAATGGATGTCATTTTTAATACAAAATACATAATACTAATTCTCAGGAATAGTAAAAGTTACAGTAATAATAAATAAAGTAGCACAGTGTATTTTGAGATGATAAATGGTATGTCAATCTTTTAATCAAGACGACATATAGCCATTGTCGTACCAAAAATGTTTCGCTAACATTTTACAGTAACTTATACATACAGCTTACGCATAAATCAATCGCCTTTGACAAACGGACTCGTCCCAAGAATGTCATTTAATCCTAATAATTAAATTTCAAATATTTAATGTAGGCGTGAAAGGCTTAAATTATTGATTTGTCTCGACACCTCGGTCCATTTATGGTTAATACATTGTATCCTTCTAGTACGAGTATTATAAGTGCAAAAACTAGTAAAATGTTTGTATGTTTATTACTGAAGGGATTTGAATTAAATTTAATACACAAATATGATATATCCTAATTAAAAAGATAGGATACTTTATATACTGATTTATGCAAGTAAAGCCGCAAGTAAAGCCGCAGGAAATAGCTAATAAATAATAAATATTGCTCGACAAATTGCACAGCGCCATCCTAGAAATGAATACATAATAAAAAATATGAAACTAAATCTATATAATAAAAATAGATAAACTATAACCACGCATAATTTTTTGTACTGTGATTCTATTGTGTAATGAGATATCATCAAGGTCATTAGATAAATTAGCTTAAATAGAAAAACGAGTGCATGTAGAATGCCATACGAAACAAAATCAGTCATCTCTTTATTTTCTACAGACAATTGTTTATACAAATGTATATATACTTAAAACCATAACAGTTATTAAGAGCTATATGTATAGCTCTTAATAACTGCAATAATTATGTCTAAGGTAACACTTTACATTTTTTCATAATTTCAATGAAAAAAAGTCAAGCAGGCTGTTTGGTTAAGGAATTTAAACTCCATCATGGGGGTTATCAGCTTGTTAGCCATTCTAAGTTGCATATAAAAAGGTTTGACAGTGAAACAAAGATATTAATGACTGCTCAAAATCGATCTGGATATGTTAGCATAAAAATGTACTTAATATCTTAGTCATACTGTTAAAATGCCGCTGTGTGGTCCCGACGTAGAATAGGCCACCCTTTCCTTTCCCGTAGGTGTCATAAGAGGCGACTAAGGAAGCGCGAGGGATAAAAAATACCCCCCAAGGGCGAGGCTTATGCTCAGCAGGGGATAATCAAAAGCTGATACGAAATATCGGACAAAAATCTAGTCACTTTAACAAATGGCATTGTAATTCAAATTTAGTCTTTTGCAATGACAATAATTAGATAATTGCAGCTTTCCACATGTTATTTGTCTTCGTTATTTATAAAAATATCTTTACTTTTCTTGCACCATTAGAAAGAAAAAATATTGCTTATTTAAAGTAGTCTAAAAAAAGAAAAAGGACACGTCTTATATATTTTCTCACTAGAAACACAGAGTTTATTTTGAACCGACTAAAAAAATGGAGTACAACCAAAAGACTTCTACTAGAAAATTAATAAGTATTCCAACTATTTGCAGTGTATATAGGACCAATTCTTAACGGATATGCCACAGGATGGACGGCACCTATGGTGCCTATACTAATGGATAATGCGCAATCTCCACTAAAAGAGCCGCTGACAGCAACGCAAATATCATGGTTGGGATCTATAGTGTACTTATTTCTCTTTGGTTTGTATTCTCATTATTATAATTTTCAACTCTTTATAAAATATATCATGAAATCTATTGTATGTTACTATACTAAATCTTTTCTGGAATTATCCCCAATTTAAGTTTTGTTTCTTTCATCAGTAGAAACTTTTGACTATTCAATCATTATACAATTGAAGTCAACGTTGAATGAATTTAGTAAAAATCCATTAGTTATCGGTATAAATTTTTAAATAAGAATCCTAATTAAAATTATTCAATCAATCAATTTCACACTGTTTTGTGTATTGTAAGTCCATTTTGATTATCCTCTTTCTATATTTGTAACTTCTCTATGGGTTATACAATCCTATAATCAACATTTTTGTACATCCTTACAGGATGAATCAAATAAGTGGGTCCTCCAAATTAAATTTAAAATGATAATTAATATTAATTTTTAATTTATTCTATAAAATATATATTATGTTATATAAAATATCAATTTTCATTTAAAATTTAGTTAATCTTGTAATTTTTTTAATAAAACAACAATACAAAAGTTTTATATACCTACATATAGTTTGGCATGTACTCTTAATATTATTTACCGTTGTAACTTTTATAATTTTACAGTATGAATAGTGCACTATTGTTCTTTTACTAACTTATATTGTTACAGTTTAGCATTTTTGTTTAACAGTTTTGGTCTGTATTTTAATTTTTATAAATACACCTGAAGATTAACTTTCGGAACTGGTCGTGTGTATAAATAATTAAAACATTTTAATGAGGACAGTGGAACAAAGTACAAATATTCTGAATAATATTAAACCGTCGATATAATGAAGATCTTTCAAGATATCACAACACAAACTGAATTATTGAAATGAAATATTAATAAATTAGCCCAGAAGTTTGAAACGCACGATAATATACATCAAAATAAATCATAATTTAGGACATTAACTAGTTGATTTGGGAAGAAAGATATTAAAAATGTCATTACTTTTTTTTCAGCGGCAGTCATAGTCGGTTACATAGCAAATATAGTGGGTAGAAGACTAAGTCTGATAGGCGGTGCTGTATTCACAATAACATCCTATGGTTTGCTAGTAGCCCCAAATATAGCTATGTTATATACAGCACGCGTATTTCATTCTATCTATACAAGCGTTAATGTCTTCCTCACATTGGTATATATTGGTGAAATGGCGTGAGTATAAGTCTTTTTTATACAACTTGGAATCATTTACAAGTTGACCCATTTGGTGTTAACTGAAAACCATTACTCAGATTTATGCAGATAAGGATCAACATTGTGCTTATCACGGAGTACATTGTAATACTATTTTTATGGGGTTTCCATTCTTGAGGATGGCATGAAGGTATTATGTCTCTGTACTCTTTAATTTCACTATCATATCTCACCCTTAACAACCGAAATATAATTATACAAATACGGGGAAAACACAAATGGGACTGTGATACAAGTGACTTTTTACAGTTTCTCCTCTGACATGTGGCGTAAAGGTTGCAGAACATTCTAAAATAAATTGAAAATATTTACTCTTTCCGTTGCGTAATTGAAAATGCTTTCTGTCCAGATAGCTAATTTATTTCTATGCCAAATTTCATCTAAACATCTATAGATACTTATAAATATCTGACATAAACTTTTAAATATATTAAATTAGAAATTTAATTTCAGGTCATCAAACATAAGAGGAATATTATTAACAATGACAGCTGTATGCCAAAATCTTGGATGTATATTAGTATTTTCTGTAGGGCCATATATACCTTATAGAATGGTACAATATTTACCTATTATATTAACTATTGTATATATAATTGCTGTATTTCTAATTCCTGAATCTCCAGTATATTATTTAATAAAAGGTAAGTTCCATTAAAGATACTTTATAAAATGTATACAGTTTGATATAAAAAAATATTATACTATCATTCATTTGTGCCAGTAATCTAGTTTTCTTATGTTTTTTTTTTTAAAGTACGCTATTCAAATTTAGATCTGAAATTTCGACGTATTATTTCGATATCAATTGTAAACACAGTTAAGTTATTGATAATGAATCCTGGTGTTAGATTCAAATTTTTTCCCCCTTTCAATAAGAGCAACAACTCAAAATATGGGTATAATGGGGCCTATAAGAAAATCAGCGCTACTAACAGTGAGTAATGTGCCCGCTGTTCATGGCTTAATGCTGGGATAGTGATCCTTTAGTATTTTTTTTTTCTCTTTTATAATTATAATTGAGTATTTCTTATGTGAAATTGTTCTGTGGCTAATAAACGTTTTCTATTCTATTCTTATAACTAATCAAATTTTGTGATATTTCAATTGCATTTGATCAAAATCACAACTATGATCTAAACTGTCATATATGAGACGTCTAACGATACTTCTCTACGATTTTTCTTCAATTAAGTTATATTACATTTCAGGTGACGAAAAATCAGTTATAGCAACTCTCCGTAAATTTGGAAGAGATGACGATATCAATCAACTGTCACTCATGACCGAAGAATTTAAGGTGTCTCATTCATCCACAACGCCAATACGAGAATTGTTCACAGTGAAAAGCAATAGAAAGGCATTTTTTATAATGCTAGTATTAACAACCTTACAGTATATCAGTGGGGTGTTAAATATACTATTCTTTGCCACTACTATTTTTGAATCAGCAGGATCTTCAGTAGATCCAAATATCTCAACCATAATTATTGGAATAATTTTCACTGTAGGATCATTGATCTCGCCAATATTTGTTGACAATTATGGAAGAAGAATATTGCTATTAATATCAACTTTCGGATGCAGTTTATGTATGGTAAGTATATTTCTATGTTGTCTAGTAACTCTCAACCCCTACTCAAAACTACGATGTTAATATAATTAATTACCTCAGCATAAGGATAGATTTCGTGGTTCAATTCTCGTACAAACTAATGTAGGAAAAATCTTTTTGATTTGATATTACAATTGAAGTTATTTTTTTTTAACCAATTGCTATAATAAGGAGGGAAATGTTTTTCAGATGTAAACAGTATCTATGCAAATATGAATATAAAAATTTTGAAGCAACTTTTACCTAAATGGCTTAATAGCTGGTTTTATAAGTGTGATAATTATATTCGTATTAATTGTTGGACATTTTAAAACTACATGATGATATGTAGTATAAAACACATTAAAATAGCATCAAAAACTTACATTTTTATATAAGACACAAAGACATATATGCGATAAAGTTACAAAAAGTCGACACTTTTTATAACATTATCAGATATATTTAATACATAAGTAGATATAAGTATTTATAAATTGTTTTTTTTTTCAGGCATTATTGGGAATATACTTTTATTTAGAACAGATAAACCAAACATCAGTTAGCTCTCTTAAATGGTTGCCTCTACTCTTAGTAATAGTATTATTCTTTATTTTCGGCATTGGTAAGTAACCTGAAAAATAGAATATAAAATATACATTTATCATCATATCAGCCTGTAGACAGTTAATTTCTACTGTTAAACGTAGAATAGACCACCCCTTCCCTTCCCGTGGATGTCGTAAGAATCGAATAAAGTAGGGCGAGGGATGGGCAGCAGTGTCCCCCTTAAAATATCTCTAAAAGCCTAACTGCGGTTGCCTACCCGCCTGCCAAGCGTGACAACTACTAGCAAAACTCCCTTTATGGGGAAGGCTTATGTTCAACAGTGGATAAAATAATAATAAAAAAAAATATCCAAAATTAATATATTTTTATGATAAGATACAGCTGTTTTTTTAATAGAAATCGTTTTTCAGGCTTATCTACAATCCCAAACACATTACTTGGAGAAATGTTTGGGCCTAACGTTCGCACAATTGGATCTTCTATCTCCATCTGCATAGGTGGCATCGCTGGATTTCTCTCGACCAACTTTAGTTTTGGCTATTTATTGGTTTACTTTGGAATGCATGCAATTTTTTGGTATTTCACAGTCATTAATATTTTAGCCTTTGTGTTCACATTATTATTTGTACCAGAAACTAAAGGACTTAGCTTAATAGAAGTTGAAAACTTATTAGCTAAGTAATGTTATAAAGACAAATATGAATACATATAATTATAAAAATATGTATTGTTAGCGAGTTGCGGGCACTTTGACGTACAACACAACGCCGATAAAATGAACCTGAAAGATGTCTACTTGATCTTTTCTTGATCTTTACTTGATTTGATGTTTACTTGATCTTGAGCTACTACTTTCTGGACTATTAGTACATATATCTGTAATGACAAATGTCGAATAAAGTGACAGATCATAATCCTGCTTTTATTACACATTTTGGAAACAGCGTACTGTTTTTTTTTTCTTATATTCATTTCTAATTTGCAATCTACTTAACACCGGCTTATAAATATGCAGTAGTACATTAAGAAGTTGAGGGCAACCGAAACAACGTTGAAAACCCTGAATTACTTTAAAATATTGAACTCTAAAAATGTATATCTCTCATTTTGTCTTTTATTTAAATCCAAATTATAAGCCTATAATTAATAATAGTACTGTTTGTTCAAGTACACGAAGGTAAAAACCCCAAATATTAGAGGTAGTTCCATAAAATTTAAAGTTAAATTAAACTTTGGAATTGACGAGGTGATTAGCTTTGGATTATTTCAATGTAATTTCTATGTTATTATAAGTTGTTTGAATCTGACATTATTATAAATTTATGAATATAATGGGTTGTTAATTGGGTTTCATTAATCTTTTGGCTTAACAATTTGCTTTTAATTGGTTTCGATATAATAATATGAATTTCACGATAGGGGTATTATGTAAAATGAAAAGTTCACGCAACGTCACTGGTATTAGTCGTAGGTATATGCAAATATCTGAGTGAATGGCCTAGATGTTACCTATTAAATTAAAAGTTATTTATTATTAATTGATAGATCAACTGATCCTATAAATGACTACAATAATAATATATAATGGATAGTATTATTTTGAACTAGTTATCGATTCAATCAATATCTACTATCAATATGTCTTAACTACTGGTAGGTACCAAAACCTGTTTTTTTATTTAACAAACTTCACAGCGAATTATAATGAATCAGGAAAATATATGGTGCAGTAATTCAATATTGTAGACTTGAAATCGTGTAAGTATTTTGATGTACACATATAAAATCTTGGAGCGAAGTTTGATTGGCAATCAGAGTTCCACAATACGGGCATTATGTCAAGAAGTTTTAGTATTACAGCAGTATTCTGATATACGGGGCTATCTGGGACTCAGGAGATAATACTTGGGCGAAGCTTAGCAAAATCATTTTATAATTAATTAACAAATTTTATTTACAATAACTAATTATTACAGTAATGTCTATGTTATATTGTAACTTATTCTTAATAACATGATAGTTTATTATACATTATAACCAGATTTTTACCACGATTATTTATTTACTTTGTTTTTTTATGAAATTAATCGCGAAAATCTGAAAATTTCATAGAATTATTTTATATTGGAAATTGAGTTGAAAGAACCTACTTAGGTAATTACTACAAGAACATAATAAAAACAATAGACAGTAAATACAATGTTACTGTCTGGAGTGTTCAACACCTGTATAAATAATAACAATATTTTTGACGAATACAATAACTAAATAAAGACATTAAATAAATATGTTTTACCCGCGGTTTCGTTCGCGTGCCCATATTTATCTGTATAAAAATAACATATCTCCGTCTAAATCCTAAATACTACGTATGTACCAAATTTTATGACAATTAGAAGCGAACCATCAAGACTCTAGATTCACTCTAGAAACTATCGACGTCAATTCTTGTGAGGATCATCACAATAGGCCAACTGAGATGCTTTCATCCTTTCCTATCATCCCTCACTGGTGCCTCGCCAGTGTAGACCGATAGTGCGGGCGGATTTACTATTCCATTATTACCTACTCATTAAAAAAATAAACAAACTGACTTTTAAATTTGTAAATATAAGAAATAAATTATTTAATCAGAAAACTGATTTAAACTTTAATTTTCTCTAATATCATTCATATTCTTCCTATTTTTGTGTTTCCGAAGAAATATAGTTTAGGACAAATCGATGGTAAAATTATTCATATAAAATAAACTAAAATTCATATTCATATTGTAATCAAAAAATTGTCCATTTTAATAGATATTTATTTGGAAAAAATGTTCAGTTTCACTGGTAGAACACTCTTTTAATAAGATGCTAATAAAATAAGCATACTATATTTTTGTGACACACAGAATTTTACTATCAATAAATCCTTCAAACGTCTCTCGATGAATAAAGATAATATCGAATAACAGAATAATACCGCCGTTAAACAGATGCCAACGTCAATAGTGACCAATTTCACGCGACGCCGCTCTTCGACATTAGTTAACGAATATTAGGGGCAAATATTAGGGACACTGGAAAGTTATTGCTTACTTTTATAATAATAATAAACTATACTGCGTACAAAACGTAAACAAATCTCTGAGTGCCATAAAAAAGGCAGCATTTAAGCTACTCACAAAAAGAAATTGTATCTGTAGTATGTGAAGGGTTCGTTGGATAGAACAATAAAATGGAAAATACTGAAAAAAGATATATTTTTTCTAGTACATGTAATATTTAAAAATGACGGTCTCTATTAACAAAATATGAAGCGTGTATGACAAGATTGATGAATGAAATAAAAAAAATATTTTGGGAGACAGGCGTGACAGATATGTATGTATGTATGTATGAATTGGATCAATGAAATAAAAAAAAATATTTTTAAAAGTGAAGTAAAAAAACCTCAACAGAAATATAATTACAATTCTTTTAAATTTTTTGTGTACGCGTTACGCAATTACATCGCCGTTTTTGGACGGATTTTGATTATTCTTTTTATCGATTCAAATTGTGCAGAAGATAAGGTTATATATCCTTAATATTGAATACTCTATATTCTATTTTTTGTTAGCAATTGTAACGGTGAATTTTAAAATCAAATAACTTTATTTTAAGGCCTATAGGAAATCTCTTTCTATATTATTTATTACAACCCATCAAAATTAAAATAAATTAATAATAAAATATAACCAAATAACTACTTTGTAGTTCGAATAAAATTATCAAGAGTAAGTTCTAGATTATTTATTATTGTGCTGGGTTAGAAAGTTTATTATTGTTGTTCTTGTTTGTTATTTCAAAACACAACTAGTAACTTTAGAAGTGTTTGACATAATTAAAGGTCGTTGTCCTTATTCGTTCTTGTGAAAAATTATTATGAACGATAAATGAGGTCAATATCAATATAGCCTTCTCAATCTTACTATTGTTATAAAAAAAAAGTTTCTACGTTTTTTTTTTTTAAATAGATGATAATTCATGGAATGGAATTGTAAACCCGCTTGTGCTATCGGTATATGCTGGCGAGACACCAGTGAATAGGTAAGGACGAAAGCGGGTCAGTTAACTCATCGTGACAAATCAATTAAGAATAAACCACGTTAGTTTTCAGGGGGAACCATGTGGAGATCGATCTGATAGTATATTGCTAACAATGGGAACACTAGTCCCCATTACTAACAATTCCTTCTCCCACAGTTTGTGAGGTTATATGCAAGTTTATATGCTTGTCACTTAATCAAATCTTAATAGCTGAACGAATTTGAATAAAATATGACACAAGGGTAGGTTGTATCTTTACTTAACATATAGGATACTTTATATACTGATTAGCTTTTACCTGTGACTTCGCCCGCGTGAAGCGTGACGTAATGTTTACTGACCGGAATAAAAAATAGCCTATATCCTTTTCTCCCCCATAGAATATGTGTATAAAAAATTTCATAGCGAATGATTAAGCCGTTAAGGCGCTATAAGGTAACAAACAAATACACTTTTACATTTATAATATTAGTAAGAATTCACGCGTTCATATCAGGAAACGGTTAGTTAAAAAATTATGTTATCTTTAATACAATTGCAAGTATATTATGTTTATATTAATACTGATTTATGATTTCTTGATAGTGCAATTGATTTCAATCTGTATAGTTTACTTCCATATCGAACCCTTATTAATTGAAGTTGATTATTCACAAATTGAAATCTTCCATTATATTCGTACTCCAGTAGATTTGAGTTAAAGATGGAATAAAAAGAACATCTAGATAAAGAAAAAATTAAGTATTTTTTTAATCAAATCTATCCTTTATAATGCTAAAAAAAAATATTCCGTGAAAGTGACAAACAAAAATTGCCACTTTGTTCTAATTTCAAAATTATTTATATAGACTTATGCAAGTTATAGGTACGTAATATAATGACCCTGGAACACCTTAGCGACTTAACAATAGCTGAACTATTTGACCAATTCTTTTTTTGTTGTCGTAGAAGAAACAAGAATTATATGTAAAAAAAAAAAATAAAAAAACTAAAAATTTGTTATTCTAACAATTTTTTTTTAATCAAAAGGAAAATTGTGATCTCATTTTCTTCATTAGTACCGGTGCAAATCCAGGGCAAGCAGATAGTTTATAATAAAAATGTTGATGAAGCTGCAAGCTAGTTTGCTAACAAGAACAAACAGACAAAGGGATCCTATAAGATTTAATTTTAGATATGAAATCATACCCGCATCTATTTTGAGGGGGACGTCAATTTCATCTTACTCTAAACACAAATACGTGATCACAGATTCAATATTCATCAAAGAATCAATAAAGTGAACAGATATGTCCCTCGTTTGTCGTTTCTATCGTTAAATCTTGAAATCTGAAGACGGATCGTAATAATAAACCTCGGAAAATATCTAATACAATCTAAAGATTGTCCGATCATTCGTATATAGCAAATTTGAAGAAACATGATTTGTGGCTATTCTTACAATTAAGCGAATAAATATATCCGTGTATATAGATCAAAAGAAAACATCTGCCTTAAAATTGTTGTTTTTACATTGCTTGTCTTTGGAGTAAAATAAAAATACTTTACATACCTACAACTGAATCTTCACGTTCCTGGAACTCACTGCCTGAAGATATCTGTCCACTACGAACCAAACATACTTTCAAGAAAAGAATATAAACTCATCTTTTGTATAGTTTTTAATTGAACAGAGAAGTTGATTATCATGCTAAATAAATTACCTATACCTGTATATAAAGTAATAAGTTTAAGTGCATATATTTATATATATATATATATATATATATATATATATATATATATATATATATATATATATATATATATATATATATAAACCGCCTTCATGTATCTCTGAACTTCTCAAAGGATGGCAAATAGAATGTAAATGCCATTAGTACAAATAATATTAATTTAAATATGTGTAACAAAATGGGTTATAAACGTACTTTGGCAGGTTGGAATAGGCATGTGAGCGAGACTCATTTGAGTGCTAGGCGACATTTTAGTGAGTGGTTATACTTTGGCAAACCTTCCAGTGGGCCATTCTATGAACGTATGATCGAGTCACGTAAGATATTTAAGGGTAGACTGAGATGGTGTCAGCGCCATCAGGAACAAATCAGAATGGACCAAATAGCCACGCATCACTCTGGAGGTGACTTTAAGAGATTCTGGAAAGCCACCAACAAGCTGAATGTTAAGCCTGGCACTCCGGTGAGTGTTGATGGCGCTTCCAGGCCTGCACATATTGCTAAAATATTTAAGGAACATTTTACAGTGCGCTCACCTTTGGGACCATCGTCTCGGGGGGTCTCTCATCGTCTCAATGTTAGTGGTCAATATACAATGTCAACGAAAATTGTAACCAAAGACATTGAGCATGCAATTAACAAAATGAACAAAGGTAAATCACCGGGGCACGACCACCTCAGCATTGAGCACCTGAGACATGCTGGCTCTCATCTTCCACGGGTACTCGCAATGCTATTCAATGTATGTGTGAGTCACTCGTATTTGCCTCCAGATTTGATGTCGACTCTGGTGATACCCATTGTCAAGAGCAAGACTGGAGATATGTCAGATAAATCAAATTATAGACCCATTTCCTTGGCAACTATTATAGCCAAGGTGTTTGATAGTGTGCTGAACTATTACTTACATAATCATATAAATCTTCATGACGGACAGTTTGGTTTTCGGCCCGGGTTGTCTACCGAGACTACTATATTTAGTTTAAAACACACTGTCAAATATTATACTGATAGACAGACTCCAGTTTATGCCTGTTTTCTAGACCTCTCGAAAGCTTTCGATATGGTGTCGTATGACGTTTTATGGCAGAAATTAAATGATACCGGGCTGCCTCCAGAGTTGATTTCGGTTTTTAAATATTGGTACCTTGAACAGGAGAATCGTGTGAAATGGGCAGATGAGCTCTCGGAGCCATACAGACTGGAGAGTGGGGTGGGACAGGGAGGGTTAAGCTCACCTTTACTTTTTAACCTATACATGAATTCACTGATCAAACGACTCAGTGGCATGCGCGTTGGCTGTTACGTGGACGGCGTTTCTGTTAATAACCTCAGCTATGCTGATGACATGGTGTTGCTGGCTCCCTCGGTCAGTGCATTAAGAAAACTGCTCGCTGTGTGCGAGTCGTATGCTATTTCACACGGTTTGATATACAATGTAAAGAAAACTGAGTACATGGTCTTTGAGGCGGGTACCAGGTGTCCAACATATATACCTCCTATTATGTTGGATAGTGTTCCCATTAGAGGAGTGCATCAATTTAAATACCTTGGTCACCTGGTGACCACCAGCCTTAGAGACGACGTAGATATGGAGAGGGAGCGTAGGGCTTTGTGGGTCCGAGCCAATATGTTGTCCCGCCGATTTGCGCGATGTACAAATGCAGTGAAAATAACACTATTTAAAGCGTATTGTACATCGTTGTATTCGGCGAGTCAGTGGTTCCAGTATACTCGGGGGGCCTACAATGCCTTGCGTATCCAATTTAATAATAGTTTCAGGTTGCTGTTGCGGCTTCCGCGCTTCTGTAGCGCCTCAGCGATGTTTGCCGACGCTCGCACAGATAGTTTTGACGCAGTCTGGCGTAAAAAGACAGCTTCGTTTTTATGTCGAATACGCTGGAGTAGCAACAGTATCCTGAACATGTTTGTTAATAAATTGGATAGTCCTCTCGTGAAAATGCTCTCCGAGAGGACTAGATCATTATTAGTAATTAAGTATTAACATAGTTTTTAAGTACACTTACTAACAAGAATGGATCCCAGTTATCTAAGAATAAATAAAATAAAAATAAATTTGTATTGAGCCCTCCTTTTTGTACCCATTGGTCAATAAAGTTTTAATAAATCTTTATTTTAAAATAGCTGTTCCAGATTTCATCAGCATCATTATATCAGCCGTTAAAAGTCTGCTACTGAACATAGACCTCTTCTTAAAGTAGTATTTGCCAGAAGTTGCTACGCTTGGCAAGACAGTGAGCAACTGCTGTTAGGCTTTTGATGTTATTTTAAGAGGAACTCTGTTAGCTACTCCTCGACCATTAAGTTCCCTTAGTCGCCTCTTACGACACCTACGGGAAAAGAAGGGATGGCCCATTCTATGCTGGGACCACACGGCAATTATAGATTTGTTCGCGTAAATATATAATAAAAATAATAACTTTTATAATCTATGGCCTACCCACTTCTGGTATATTATTCTAAATATCCTCTTTCTTTCTATATCCTCATTATAAAGATAAATATAAATAACGTAAAACAGATATTGGGTTCTATATAAATAGATATTTAAGGGAGAGTAAAAAGTTTATTATATCAAAATCAACTTTGTAACATATGTCTTACCTTTATTAAAACATGAATATGGAATAAGAGTTCAAAGTTTTAATTTTGTGGTACTTTATTGTATGTTATCTTCTCCGACCCCTTCCGGGATTTCCTGGACAGTAACAAGGTTTTGGGCACAGTGACTTTGGCCCTTTCTGCTGACAATTTCCATGCGCACATCCTCCTTCTCCATCGAACCCTTTTCCATTTACTGCCTGCTTTAAATTCATCATCATTTGATTAAGTTGATTTGTCAATTGTCCAACAGTATTACACATTTGTTTCACTGCAATTAGAGCTGGCATACCTGCCAAATCAACAGTAGCATTTCTCCTCACATCACCTCCAGGTATCTCGGTAGAAGAAGAGCAACCCGAAGGACATTTTTTGGGAGTTAAAAAATCATAGGAAGAAGATATCTGAGACGGCGTAGAAGATCCTCCCGTGGGTAGTTTTGAAATATTAGAAACATGTGGGGTACTGTGCTGTTTACAAGAATTTCCACATTCCTTTAATGGACATGGAGGCGCCACTAAAGTCTGATTCATCTTCTGTGTTCCACTATTTAGTGAGCAGTTCTTGTTCTCACAATGAGGTGGTCGATTTGCAGGACATTGTATATTGGTACAACTATAAGGCTCATCAGTCCTATATTCCTTCGGTAGTGACGTCTTACAATCGGGACACGGACAGGTCACTTTGATAATACCGGCTTTTATATCTTTTATTTTTCCAGGTGTGTAGTTCAAGCAACTATAATGAACCCAGCTCTCGCATGCTCCTTGGCATTGTAACCCGTTCTTATGGGAGACAGGTTCTAAGCATATCTTGCATGGGTTTTTTACTTTATTGCATTTTGACATTGTGATGGTTTCTTGGCAAAGTGAAAATATATAACATGGTAGGGATTGATGTTGAAGTTGTTGTTAATCCAATAAAATTATTATCTACGTAGGCATTTTGAATTTTTTGACATTTCTTGTGACAGATAACACTATCTTCTTATTCATAAAATTACTTTGAAGCTTTGAAGAGATTTAAATGTCACTTTATTGTTTATGCTTATAACTGAACAATAAAAATCAGAGTAATTTAAAACTATGAAAACTATGATAAATTTAATAAAGAAATACCGTAAATATTACACCAATACTTCAGTATTTTTATTATAATATAAATAGTTTGTGTTAAAATACGTAAAACTAACTCAAATTTTATGTGAGATTGCGATGTAATCAGAATTTTAGATAAGGACGCTGAAGATGTCCAAAACACCATTTACTTTTCATGATATAAGTAGGTAATACGTTATTCGACTTGAGAGCTATTAAAAAAATTGTTTTATCTATGGGTATGTTTGTCTTTTTCATGTATTTCAAAGGAGCAATAAACTTTTTTCTTCAATATGTCGCAACACGTATGTATCACACAATACGAAGGCAATAAAATGCTTTGTCAGGAACACATTTTTCTTACGTATTCTTATTTTGGTACAAATTGAGTTACAGATTTAAAACTGTAGTACTGTTCACAATAATCCTTATTTTCAGGTGTATAAAGGACATAATTCACCGCAAAATAGTAAAGGAAAGGCAGAAAGCAGACAAAAAGTTTTGTTTTTGTATTAAGTCACACACAGATGTTAAGTTTGATCACAGTATATTAAGCACATAAGCTGCACACGCTCTTTGCGGACTGTGAGTAGCAATTATGGATTTCAAAACGTATTTCAAAGGAGTTTCTCAAATAATCTAATTCTTTTTTTTTATTTAGTATGTTTTATGACAATTATTTTTTTTACAGAATTCATTTCCCTTCTTCAATAGGGGAGATGGCAAAATAACCCCCGACCAAAATATAGTCGGTTGGAGTTCAGGGCCTTAGAGTCAGAAATCGTCGCACTATTAGAGCAGTGTCAAACAGTAACGCTTTTTGCATCTTTCTTGGAAGAAACCTACTTCGGACACTCAACCGATTGAGGTGTTACTATTATTATGTATAGTATAATGTATATTACGTCACTAATTCTGATCAAATTTTTATATTCCTTTTTCATCTGTTAAGCTCGTTATGGAGTAAAATTTTTAAACACATAATATTTATAATGTAGGATATATATATATATATATATATATATATATATATTTATAGCTGAGCATATTATACTTGTTACGTGTTTCTTTCAATTAAACAATTACTTTAAATATTTTTTAACATATCAAATCTTTAAACATGAAGCATTTAAATATTATTTAATTTCTGCCTTGGTTTATTAAGTTTGGAGAATGTTTTAACAAATTATCTGATATGTCATGTGACATGAAATTCGTCTAAATTTCGTACAGAAGTTTTTAATCATAATTCATACCATTCAAACCTGTGATATATAAAAAGTTAGAATATAGTTGAGTATCTTATTTTTTTAATAAAAAAAAATCATTTTATTAACATTAAGATATTTCAAAAGTGTTTTTTACGTATTATGAAAGTATCACAAGGACACAGACTCGTCACAAACAGAAAGCTTTACTTCTATTCATATACTCGTATAGGTATTAAGTACTCATGAAATTATTAATGACAGGTTAAAATTATTGCAAGAAAATTTTTATGATGGCCAAATCTTTTTGAATAGATTTCTGAAAGAAAACTGATAAAACAAGTTCTGTATAGAATTTATTTAGTATAGACAGCAATTATAAAGTCAAATTAAGTAGATAGTAATGCCTGTGAGTTAATTATGCTATTATATATACAAATCTTATATTAAACATTGATAAAATACCCACTTTTACACAGGAAATGTGTAAAATAATTATCTAAGAACTGATTTGTATAATAGTTTTACATATCCAATATATACGAACAAAACTATTAATATTGCTGATTTTGTGTTATATTATTTAAATAAAAATGTTAATAAAACCACAATCATGTAGTTTTATTAACATTTTCCATCAGATAAGTCATTTTTTAGTTTTCTACTTCATATTACTGCATAAAAAACGTCTAATGTGACTCTAACTCGACATCTCATATGTAATGTGACTTTAATATGACTCACAATATATTAACTATGTTACTAATTCCTTTCTCAATACTAGCTGCTATGCCATGACTTTGCTCACATAAATCAGTATATAAAGTATCCTACGTGCTAAATTAGGATATAACCTACATCTGTATCAAATTTTATTAAAAGTCGTTTCGTAGTTTTTGCGTAAAAGAGTAACAAACATTTATTCACAGAATGTTATCATTTGCCATCATGTGAAGAAATATCAAGCGCAAACTATCCCACCACCCGTAAATAAATAATGAAAACCAAATACCTAAATAACAATATAAATAAAATACTATCTTGCCATAAAAAAAAATCCTTTTCCCGTATACTATTTCCTGCGCTCAACGTTTACTATCCTTTTTGTCTGTACGCCCCATATCTAACACATCAAAGTTTGTGAGCTCAGTGATTTGGAATGTTTCAATCCGACCGTGTATCTAGATGTGAAGACGCAATCCTCTCACAAACATCCCCACAATGTAGGTACTAAACGGCTACTGATAAAACTGCTGAGTGAGATACTTTCTAGAATAAAAACAGATAAGTCTGATTACGATCTTCTTGGACTCTGCTAACTTTTAGCTGCGAACATACGGTTGTTATGAACTATCATAATACGATGATAAAAATGATTGTGATAGTATATAAGCTTCGATTATACACACAGCTAGCTGTCATGTGTTGGTAAACTGGAAAAACGGCTTGATTCTGAGATGCCATTTCTCTGAACTCTGAAATTATTATTATAATTTGATATCACTGCAAAGTCTTAATTCTAAGAACCATTATAATAATGATTAATACTACTAATAGATTAATAATATACAATACTAATTATCTAATAGATTTAAGTTAAAATTATTATAATATTAGTTTATCATCATTATCATTTCAGGTATTAACTGTCCACTGCAGAACATATGCTTCCCCATAAGTGTTGTTTTGTCTGTAGTTACCACGCTTAATAGGCGAGTTGAAAACTGCAGCTAGGCTTTTAGAGATGTTTTAAGGAGGGTGCTGTTGTTCATCCCTCTACCATTAAGATAGATAGATGCCCTTTATTTTCCTCTAGTTTTCTCTAAAAGATTACAATAGTAAACTTATTATAAATATAAACAATTACAAGAAATAATCACAATAAGAAAACAATGGGCTGTCTTATCGCTAAAAGCAATCTCTTCTAGGCAACCTTTGGATGGAGAGGAGTAATTATAAACAATTTGATCGGAGTTCCCGTTATTAAGTTCACTTAGTAGCTTCTTACGACACCTACGTACGTTTAAATGTTAAGAGGTAAAAAACAATTTAAATCACTTTCATATTTATAATGTCAGTAAGGATAGAATTTAAGAAAAATATAGGTAAATAAACGAATAATTAACACGATTATACGACAATTTGCTAATAAACATACATATATGTAATATCCAATTTGAACCATGTGATCCCGGCATAGAATGGGCCACCACTTCCTTTCCTGTGGGTGTCGTAAAAGGCGACTAAGGAAGCTTAATGGTCGAGGAATGGGCATCAGCGTCCCTCTTAAAACATCACCAAAGGCTAACTGCGTTTGCCAATCTGCTTGCCAAGCATGGCAACTACTAGTTGGCCTGGGGTCTACTGGGGGTCGGGGACGAGGAGTCTTCCCTCTTTAAAGGGGAGGTCTATGTTTAGCAGTGGACAATTAATGGCTGATTTGATGACACTGATGATGATCCAATGGTAGCACAAATCATAAATCAATTAATTGATTAAATATTCCAACTTGTTACTAACTTCATTCAGACTATTTGTATGACAATTTCTAGAACACTTGGTTCCATTTTCATTAGCTCTACTCGTATTGAAATAGACTATGGTGTAATTAGTTTTTGTCTCGCCTCTTGCCATCGCATTCCCAGCCTGTGAGTACGTGAATATGTATACTAAATATATGCAACGAAGCGACTAACACTAAACAATACCGCCTATTAATTGTCAACATTGTCTTTCCATTAATTGCCGTGCCAACACCAAACTGTCGAATGAATATTCATTCGATGAATAAATCAAGCAGTTCGGTTTGACTTGAATGTGTAAGTGGCTACCATTTGTGTCCCCGGTTACACGTATCTCCACTAGGTTACAGTGCGAGCTTTACTAATTATTACATACTAGTTATTACCCGCTTCACTTCATTTGCGTAACCAATTTTTGTTTTTATACCACTGAGGTGGCAAACAAGCATACTGCCCACCTGATGGTAAGTGGTTACCGTAGCCTATGAACACCTGCAATACCAGGGGTATTACGCGTGCGTTGCTGACCCTGAAAAAATTTTCTTTTATTTAGATAGAAAATAGCCTATCCTTCTTTATATCAAATTTGTCAAATTTCATAACGATTGTTTGAACTATTACAACCCCAAGAAGTATGCTTATAAATATATATACAGCATTTTAATTAATATAACCTATTCCTCACTGCTTTTTTTTCTAGAAAATATATTACTGAAAATTAAAAATAATAATGAATTTTCTTGAAAACAAGAATAACCCGTATCTATACCGACGGCACTATATAATACGTATGTAAATACCTCATATAGTACAAGGTATTTACATACCTATTATTGTATACCTCCTTATTATAGTAAGGAAACGTAGTGTTGTTGATACAAATACAGAATGTTCTTTTGTTAGAGAATTTTAATTATTTTTTCTAGGAATTATAAATTTTAATTAATTAAAATAAATTAATTCCGAGAAAATACCAATGCTATTATAATAAATAACAAATCGTTAGAAAATACTTGATGTCGATTTGGTTGTTACCAAAATTTTTTATATCAAGTTCTATAAATAGGTATCAATACATAAATTAATACTAGAGACATGACTTCCCTCTGTACTAAAATATATATATATGATAAATATGTTGTTATATATATATATATATATATATATATATATATATACCCAATATTGAAAAAATATTTTTAATGTATAACCGCGTATTTGCAAGTCCTAAATTGTTAATAATTTAAAAAAGGCCTCCCTACAACTCGATTCGAACTACG